CCGGCGAGTGGATTGGCTTCTTCTTCTTCCATGGCGTGGGAGGGTGAGAAAGTGGAGAGAGAGAGAGAGAGAGAGAGGCCTATGGGTGCAAAAAAAGGACTGCTCAATTTCTTATTCTTTGCCTTTTTTAAAAAAAATTATTTTTCTTTTTTGAAAACTGATGATATGTAGGCAGGTTTCCCCATCCTGTATTAAGTAATCAAACCCGGAAAACAGGTTTCCCAATAAAATTAGAGTGGATAGTTAGTATTATCACCCATGTTTAGGTGGTGGCATCAACAATGATGGGTGGATTGTCAAACGTTTCGGTGGGCCAAGTGGCCTTCTTTTCGTCATTTTAAATTTGACTGAGGAAACCTGAGATCCACCGACTTTGACCTGGAAGGCCCGGTCAACTGTACGGGGCCTGATGTGTTGCACCGGCATTCGGCGGTGGATAGTACGGATGGTGGGACCACGGTTTGAGTTCAAAAACATGCGTTGCCGGCATTCAATGCGTCGGCCGCTTCCCCGCCTTATCTCTCTCTAAAACCCTCCTGCTTCCTTTCATACCGAGCTTTGACCCGCCTTTCGCACGTGAGCATAACAGAGGCACGTGTGAATGAGGGTGGGAGTATTGGCACGTGTGAAAAGGGTTTGGGGGAGAGAGGTGAGAGGAGGTGGCGTACAAAAGTTGCAGCACCGCCCTTGTAACGTGGGCGCCGGAAGGGAGACACGCATGAAATTCACGCGCTTTCTCCCTCTATCGTATTTACATGCACACGTGCAAGTTTATTTGGCTTCTTTTTCTCTCTCCTTTTCACACGCACAACTACTGTTTATTTGCCTTCTTTTTCTCTCTCCTTTTCACACGCACGAAAACTATTGCCTTTTCTCTTTCTCTCTCTTCAATGCGATTTCGCCCTTTACTCTCTCACGCGTAAAAGTTTGTGCCTTTTGTCTCTTCCTTCTACCCTTTGTCTCTCTCCCTACCCTAACATACATGCACATGCACATCTCCTCTCTCTCTCTCTCTACCCTACCATTAGAGATATCCAGGAGAAGCTACCAGGATAGTTACCAGACTGGAAAGTTTTATCATTTTGAGAACTTTAAATTTTGCCCCATGATTTTTTTGGAGATATATATTGTTGTGCATGAGAGAGAGGGCGATTTATTTAAATATGATGTAAATATACAAATGAAAGACTCGTTTATTTGAATGTACTTTTTGTTTTTTAACAATTTTATTTGAATGAACTTGAGAGGGAATATTGAATATCAGTAATTTACGTGCTTCACATCATCTTTAAGCGGAGGAATACATACATAGAGAGAGAGAAAGCAAAGAGGAACGTATCAGAAGAGGGAAAAAAAAAAAAACTAAGAGGCAAAACTTGGGCCACTAGGAGAGAGCGGAAGGGTTCTTAAAAGCGAAATTTGGGTCTCAGAGAGAGAAAATAGGAAGAAAAACTTTGAAAAGGGAAAGATGGGGTTTGAGGGAGAGAGAGAGAGAAGAGAGTTGAAAGGGAGGGATTAGGCCTCATTCACTTCCTGAATCAGGGAAAGAGGAATAAAAATATTCCGAAGTTGCAACGACAATTGGCATTACTAACTCCCAATCAAAGGAGAGAGAGAGAGGGGCAACGGGTGATTGTTAACGAGAGAGAGAGAGGAGTAAGGGGCAAGGGGTGAAAGTTGAAGAGAGAGTGTGGGAGGAGTTTTGTAAAAAAAATGGCAGTAGGGGAGTTTAGAAAATAATCGGTAGGAAGAAAGAAATTGATGGGATGAGGTGCAAGCATCCGAGCAATGTTCGTAAAATCGAATCGGAACAGTTAACTTGGACATGGACTCAGAAGCTTCAACTAGACGATTCAACTATGCAAATCCACGGCGGTTAAAAAAGTGTTAAAAAAATATAAAAAATTAAAAATATAATAAAATATGAATGATTATACAAAGGGTGCAGTTGACATACGGATAAAATGTTTTTAGGATTATCTCAAAATCTATTTTTATATCTAATTATGACATTTGAAATTTAAAAATGGTTAGATAGATCTATAAACATATGAAAATCTTGAAAATAGACGGTGTAGATACTATGTTGTAAAATACATTATTTTTTAGACTTAAGATATTTTAATTTTTCATGTCGTACGTTTCGATGTCAAGATGATCAATCAAAAGGTTTTTCACCATTAAAATTACTTTTTCCGATGGATTTTTGATGTGCATATGTAGTTCTATATTATAAGGTTGCAACTTTATATAAACTTTTTCCTTATATAAAACAAATTTAAATTAAGTTCAAAATTAATAAAAATATATATTTTAAAGATTTGTGTCAAGAAGTATTTTTGAAAAAAAATTTAAATGATAAAATATAAAAATAAATATTAAATGACCAATATATTTTCTAATCTTTGTGATAGTAATAAAAAATATTAAATAATGCATTGCAAAAAAGAGTTTATTTTTAAAATTTTATATAGTTTATTTTAAATACCTGATCGATCACCAAACCAGCCAAAATCAAAACCAGCTAGCTACTATCGAGTTTTGATTTAAAGAGAAAATTAGCGATTAGACTGTCCGACGAGAGAGAGCTACGAGGAGCGAAGGGAGCTTGGCACGTGTGCGGGCCGGTATAGCACGGGCGACCGATCTCCTGACAAGCGGATCACATGCTGACACGGAATCCGCGTCATCATCGCTTCCTCCTCTCTCTCTAACCAGCAACATGTAGGAAGAAACGAAGCGTCAAAAACCTCCTTTTCTTTATTCTTCTCCAGAAAACGACGCCCCGTAATACGCGGAGAGCGTCGGGGGCGTCACGGCCTTGACGCCCCCACTGATCACTCGTTTTCGGGCATTGCACAGACCGCCACGCGTCACCATCTTACCCTTCATTTCCCTCATCCCACGCTCTATTTTCACACGCTCTAGAGCCGGCTCATTCGGCTCGGCTTCGAGAATATCCCATGCTTGCTTGTGACATACGCCTACAGGATCCGGTTTTGAACTTATTTTATTTAACTCCCTTATTTAAAATATTAATTAATTACTTTCAGTTTTATTTTTTAAAAAAATAAAACAAAATTTGTTTTTGAAAAGCAGATATTGTTGACTACGTTGCTTCTTGGATAAGTTTATAGATAGAGACAAAAATATTTATTTATATTGACAAATTCAGCTTTATGAGAGGGCGAAGAATTCCATTCCCGTTCAAAGTCAAGACCCTCAGTCCCCTCCTCTACTTATAATAAAATAATATGTGGATCTCCTTAATTTTTATTGTCTTTCATTGTATAATGGGACTTATGTCTTAAGCTAGGTTATGTCTAATGTCATTTTGTTCCTTGTTTAGGAATACTAGGTAGGAGGAATCTTTGATATATAGGTTAAGATAGGTAATATAGCGAAATTTTATGTTTTTTCATTGATTGTTACTAATATTAGTATTTTTAGATATACACATTATTGATTTCAATTTTAATTATTTGTATTAATATTAGAGTTTTAAGTAATTTTTGTTCATAAATTTTTTGAAAATTATTTTGTTAGCTTTTAAGAAGTACGAGTTGGTTCAAGCGGAAGACCATAAACAGGCAAAAAATAAACACAAAAAGACAGTTGAAAGAAACAAAAAAATATATAAAAATTTATAGCCTCACTAAAAGTACGAAACTTGATATTTAGACGACCCCAAATAGTAAAAAAAAAGCTATGAGTTGATGATGATGGTTTGGTTTGGTCTACTTTTATCCCAACCAACTTAGGTTTTCAACAAGATTTTTAGGATTTTGAGTATTATTAAGAACCCTAAACTTGCACTGGGTTGAGAAGTGTACTGACTTTTGTATTGTTAGCCTACGAAGTTGAAATGTTGACCAGCTTAGGGTTAGGTGCTCTAACTCTAGATTCTTGGCTACTTTTTTAATATATTGTACGATTTTTTTGTGCTTTATTTAATTAATTCACCGGGCCGCAATAATGGGTTGATGAATCATGTAATCTAGAAGGAATAATTGTTCTAACAAACAATCAAACACATAGTAGAAGTCATAGGAGGGAGATGGGGAAGAAGTCTTCTATGAAGCTTGTGGCCCAACTATTTTTTGAGTGATTCCTTTTTCATTTTCTTTACATGACATGGAGTATACTATATTAAATACCAAGATAGGAAATAAATAAATAAAAAAGAGCACAAATGGAAATGAAATTGAACTCTCGAAGAAAATCGACGTAGCACACATATTTATATATTCATTGTCATCATCATCAAAGTCTTTCATTTTATATATTGCATTAAGCCGTATTTGTTTTTGAAAGAAATCCCTAATGGAGATATTGCATGAATTTTGATGATATCAGTGAAATTTCCATGTTCTTTTACAGTGCAATGATGCATCATCTCTTCACTTCTGTTTTCTATTTGATTTTTGTCTTTGCCTACGCATAAAATTTAACCTTTTCTTCTTTTTTTACTCTCTTTATCGATTGTGATGTTACATTGGAATATAGAGATCCGAATGCCCATTCAAAGCATATATGCATCACGTTCAAGCCTGAAAAACCTTCTAGAAACTCTACAAATGAAAACCAAATAGTTTATTTGTGAATTCAAATCAAAAGATGAAGATTTATTCATAGTTTAATATAAGAGAGAAGGGGGGGGGGGGGGGGGGTTGGGGTTTATGAGACCTGTGGTGAACAGGTTTAGACCGTTCATGAGTGACAAGGCTTAAGTCAAGGTGGGCACTTGATCAAAGTCAAAGTCAATAGGCTGAAACCCAAGTGTGAAAAGAAGGTTGAAGTCAATTTGCAAACAGCTTTATTAATGAATAGGACAAACCCACCCTCGTAAGATGAACTCTTTTGGCATTTATAGATTACAATATTCATAATGCCCTTCCAATTAGATGCACAAACCCTAAA